TCTGCATTCTTGCCAGTGTCTGTTATGTTTTGTCTCTTAGAGGACAGCCATTTTAACAGGGATGAGATGGTATCTCACTGTGGTTTTGATTTTCATTTCCCTAATTATTAGTGATATTGAGTATTTTTTTCATATACTTGTTGGCTGTTTATATGTCTTCTTTTGAGAAATGTCTGTTCAGATCATTTGCCTATTTTTAAATCACAGTATTTTTACTCTTGAATTGTTTGTGTTCTTTATACATTCTGGTTATTAATCCTTTTTTGGATAGTTTGCAAATATCTCCTCCCATTTTGTAGGTTGTATCTTTACTCTGTTGTTTCTCCTGCTGTGCAGAAGCTTTTGTGCTTTATGTAATCATATTTATCTATTCTTGATGTTGCTGCCTATGCTTTTGAGGTCTTACCCAAAAAATCTTTGCTCAGACTAGTGTTCTGAAGCATTTCCCCAATGTTTTTCTTCTAGTAGTTGGATATAATACTTTCAGGTCTTAATTTATTTCATCCACTTTGATTTAGTTTTTATACATAGTGAGAGGTATGGAATCTAGTTTCATTCTTCTGCATATGGGTACCCAGTTTTCTCAGCACCAGTTGTTGAAGAGGCTGTCCTTTCCAATGTATGTTCTTGGTACCATTTTAAAAAATGAGTTGCTTATAAATGTGTGAATTTATTTCTGGGTTCTCTATTCTGTTCTGTTGGTCTGTGTGCCTGTTTTCATGGCAGTGCCATGTTGTTCTGATTCGGATGGCTTTGTAGTATATTTTTAAGTCAGGTAGTGTGATGCCTCCAGCTTTTTTTTCTCAGGGTTGCTTTGGCTATTAGGAGCCTTTTGTGGTACATATGAATTTTAGAATAGTTTTTTTTTTTAAATTTCTGTGAAGAATTTTTTTTGTTTTTTAATAGGGATTGTATTGAATCTGTAGATTGCTTTGGGTACTATAGATATTTCAATCCATGACCATGGGAAATCTTTCCATTTATTTTTGTCTTCTTCCATTTCTTTCATCAATGTTTTATGTTTTCATTATAGAGATCCTTCACGTTGGTTAAATTTATTTGTGGGTATTTAATTTTTTGTAGCTATTGTAAATAGGATTGTTTTCTTGATTTCTTTTTCAAATGGTTAGCTATTGGTGTCTAGACATGCTACTGATTTTTGTATGTTGATTTTGTATCCTGTAACAATACTGAATTTATCAGTGCTAATAGTTTTTGGTAGAGTCTTTAGATTTTTCTAAAGACAAGATCACATTGCCTATGAAGAAGGACAATTTGGCTTTTTCCTTTCCAATTTGGAGGCTGCTGCTTTCTTTTTCTTGCCTAATTGCTCTGGCTAGGACTTCTAATACTGTGTGGAATAAAAGTTGTGAAAGTGGGCATCTTTATCTTGTTCCAGATCTTTGAGGAAAAGTTTTCAGTTTCCTCTTATTAGCTGTGCGTTTGACATACATGTCCTTTTTTTTTTTTTTTTTTTTTCTTTTGGAGACACAGTCTTGCTCTGTCACCTAGGCCGGAGTCTAGTGGTATGATCTAGGCCCACTGCAACCTCTGCCTCCTGGGCTTAAGCAGTCCTCCCCCGTCAGCCTTCAAAGTAGCTGGAACTACAGGCATGAGCCACCAACATCCAGTTAATTTTTGCATTTTTTAGAGACAGGGTTTCTTTACATATTTGGCCTTTATTGTTTTGAAGTATATTCCTTGTATACCCAGTTTTTTGAGAGTTTTTATTATGAAGGGATGTTGAATTTTAGTGAATGCTTTATTCAGCATCTGTTGAAATGATTATATGGTTTTTGTTCTTGATTATTAATGTGATATATCGTGTTTATTGATTTGTGTATGTTAAACCATCCTTGCATCCCTAGGATGGATCTTACTTGATCATGTGAGATCTTTCTAATGTGTTGTTAAATTTAGTTTGCTTATATTTTCCATGAAGATTCCTAGACCAGGGGAAGATCTAACATTCACCTCCAGTTCCCTCCTTCACCAGCAACTGTGGTGAAAATCTCTGTGAGTAGCACTATGCCAGCTTAGAGGAAGGGTGGCACAGTGTAAAATGACTGTTTATCCTACCGGTCATGGCATTTCTCAATTCTGTGTGCCTAGGTGATTTCTCTGCTTCTCTCTGAGTTCTAGTATATTCAGGGTGGTATTCTTGTCATTGAACGGTTTCTAATTGTATTTTTGTCAGGGGCATTGATGCTGTGGATTGTCTGTTCCGCCGTCTTGCTAACATCACTCTAAAATTCTATTTTTTAATACTCTTATATCTATAGAAAAGTAGCAGAAATAATGCAGAGTTCTTTTATTTTTCACTCAGTATCCCCAAATGTTAACATCTTATAGCACCATAGTATAGTTATCAAAACCAAGGAACCAATATTGGGAAATGAATATTCACTAAACTTCCTACTTTGTTTTGGATTTTACCAGTTTTTCCACTGATGTCTGTCCCAAGGTCTGATCAAGGATTGCACCATGCATATATTTCAACAGGCTTTTAGTAAATATTGGGATTCAAGGCTTTGCTTCTGGCTAGATATGAGAGTGCAAGTCATCTCTGTCCCTCCACCTCCCCAGGCAGTTGTGCTGTACAATCTTAGGACACAGGGTAAAGTGAAGGCCTCCTCAGGCAGGCAGGTAAGTCATCAGGCCACTCTATGAATTTGGCAGACCATAAGCACACACACGGGCCCTTCCTCAGCAAGCAGCTCTGTGTTCTCAGCAGTAGGAATAAGCAGGCGAGGCTTCAGTAATTGGCAAAAAGCAGAGCTTCCTGTGGGAAAAATACTTTGAATGAGGAAGAAAAAGGAGATTTGTATTATATAAGTTTGACTGTCTCTAAAGAAAGTTAAACTTTATTGTACAACGACTGCTTCTTTCTTCTTCCTTTTCCTCCTCCTCCTCCTCTCTTCCTTTTTCTCTCTTCTCCTCCTTTTTCCTTCTCTTCCTTTCTCCTTCCCTTTCCTTCTTCTCTTCTTCCTTCTCCCCATGCTCCTTTTCCTTCTCTTTCTTCTCCTCTTCCTCCTTTTCATTGTCCCCCTTCTTCTTTTCCTCTTCCTCCTCCCAAATTTAGTTTTCCATGGAATCCTCCATATTTTGGAAAGTTTTTTGTTGTTGTTGTTGTTGTTGTTTTTTTTTTGTTTTTTTTTTTTTTTTGCTTAGTATCTGTTCATTTCTCCCAGAACCATAGTTTGGAATTAATGGACAAACAGTAGCTAACCAGATGATAGAGATTAAAGTGAAGGGAGGGGCATACACTTGAGTAGCAAAATATATTTTCCGTGAAACCCATTGAATAGAATACTTCATGTTAGGGTCAAGTATCAGAGGAAAAACAAATACTGTCGTTAAAATCAAAGCTACTCTTCAGAATTTCAGCATTTTTTAAAAATGAGAAATATATGTGTTGGTTGTCTTGTCATCTTTGACTCTTAAAATGTAACCAAGCAAATTTTAAATGAGTTGTTATGTCTCTAAAGTACCTAAGAATGTGTTGCCTCCGTTGCCTTTAACTTAACTGTTAGTAGCAGAGGTTGCATGAGTTATGAGTATTCTGTTCTGTGAATTTCTCCATTTTTGAGGTGCCTTTGTGGAGTATTGATAGGAATCATTCCTGGGCTCTACTTACAGCCTTCTGTTGGGGAACAGGATCTCACAATGCCAAACAGGAGTTTGCGATAAGGAAGAGGACAGAGAGAGCAGGTTCTTGTGTCTTTCAGAAAAGGTGAACATTATCCTGTTGATTTTGGACCAAGGGAGTTCTTCAGTGGGAAGTGATACAGAACCTACCACAGTGCCTTTCCAATCCAGGTTTTTGGTAATGAGTGATGAATTAATCCTCTGAGAGCAGAGCCCTGTGGAGTGGGTGGCAAATGTTGCTCTCTGACTACAGTTCTCTGCATAGGATGATAACACAGACTGCCTCAGATGCAGGCAGGGGCTGCTTGTCCACACTGATCAGGCATGGATTTGCCTTAACATCTGTAGTGCCCTTTACCTGTGCAGTGAGATACTAGGATATGCAATAGAATAGGCGCTGGAAGAGGTGTCCACTACAGTGTGGGCAGACTCTTTGGATCTGTATTAATAACAGCCTCTCCCATGGACTAGCCAGTGTGTACCCCTTATGTGTAGCACCAAGAAAATTAATCCAGATGTCATCCTTTTTTTCCCTCCAGAGTGGCTGGATACTTGGCAGGGCGCACAATCACATGGTCTTCAGATCTTCTAAAAGCTGATTTTCCTGGGTCTAATCCCATGAGAGCTGGAGACAGTCTATGATAATTACTGATTCAGCTCCCACTGGTGTTGAACTTACTGAGAAACTTAAGAATTAAAATATACACCCACACACCCTCAGATGGAGCCAAACACTAAACCAGATTAGTCTTTTGTGGTTACCTTTTCTTTAGGATTAGGAGGATCAGAAATCAAGAGCAGATTCTGAAACACTGTAACCCCATTCCCCACTGGGTCATAAGAGGCTGGTGCTCTTGAGGATGAAGGTCAGCAGCAGGTGCCAACTAGGTGCTGGCTTGTGGTCCCGGCAGGGCTGGCCTGCCACAGCCCAAGCTTGTTTTGGTTAAAAAATGGGTCTCTTGACCTTTCATGCCCGGGGATTCTCCGGACCTCAGATGTTTGTGAACTGGGTTCAAGGACTCTCAAGTTAAAGTCACTGGCAGACCGGAGAGAAGACTTGGAGGTTCTAAGTGTCTGAAGCAATGAGAGGAGGGATGCAAAGCCTCATTCAGTGAGACTGCAAAGTAACCTGAATGGGAAAGCTTGCCCTATTGCTGGACTCAGCAATGACACCTTCAGGTTGTTCCCTGTATGGGTTGATGAGGGAGTGGAGGACTCTAGGTCCCTTCTTAGTGTCAGCCTTGATGAAATTTAGTATGTTGCTTAGGAGCATGCCAAAATCAGAGCAACTCCCTTCCCAATGGATGTTTAGTTTTCAGTTGTTAAAAATACACCCCGAGACAGAAATTTCAGGACACTTAAGTGACTTAGAAACCCATTCAGAGGTTACTCTGTTCCCTTCACACAACTCAGGCATTTCCATGTTGGTCTCAGCTGCCATCTCAATGGCTCATTCTTTTTATATATCAGAGCAAATCTGGACCTCCCAATATGTTTTGGGGAGAAGTCGGCTTAGAGGGGTTTGCCTTGCTCTTTGAGAGAACGAGTTTAGCAAGCATTAATTTTTCTAAGAAGGTGGCATAAGTTTTGATGTGATTTTCTGGAGAATAGTCACAATTTATCTTATTCCCCCAAGAGAATGGGATGATGTTCCCATAGAATCTTGCTTATCCTGCTAGCAGTAACTTGTATTCTCTGATTTATACAAACAAGAAATAGAGGGTGATGGTGGGGGAAATGATACCAGGAAATAGTTCGTTTTTTGCAGGGATTCAGAATGTGTCACTGGGCTTCAAGATAGGAAGAATCTTTGCCTTGATGCTGATGAAGGTAACCACCCCACCCACCATCATCTATTAAGGATTTACTGTGTGGTCACTTTATAGTCATCTAAGTAAATTTCCATAATTACCTGATAAGATGGGTACCACTTTTCAGAAAAAGAAACAGATTTCTGGAGAGTAAGTAACCCAGGTAGTACAGGTGGGCCATCTGTCTGCATGTCAAGCATCAAGACAGCCTTTGGCCTTTGTGGGTGTTGTCAAATGTGCTGGTCTCTGTCATTAATTCGTGGAGCTGCTCATTTCCACAAACACCTAGGATGCAGTATGCACCCTCTGTTTCGAGTGAGGTCCTTGGACCAGCAGCATGGCAGCAGCTGGCAGCTTGCCCTCGACGCAGAACGCCAGGCACTCCCTGGAGCTACAGCACGAGATCCCCAGGTAGGGATGTGCATGTGCATCTACGTTTTGAACCACACTCCTCTTTGCTACTACGGAAGAACATATCCTCTACTCTCCCTCCCCTTTGTCTCATCTTGTCTGGTAATTTTAAATTATTTAAAAGTAAGTTACAGAAAATCATAGTGTCTCAAAATGGCTTACCAAGAAATATTCAAAGCTGTAAGATCAGAAGCTTGAAATGAAGATTTCTATGCATCTTTGAATTGTTCTACAGAAATTAAAAAAAAATCCAGACATCTAAAAGATGATGATTTTCAGAATTCATAGTAACATGGTGTTCTTCATGGTGTCGGAGCCAAGTTCTTGCTGAGGTTTGCACTGGGCTGTCCCCCAGGCAGCTGCAACACAGCACAGAGCCACCCTTGCTGTCTAAGCCTTGTCGCTGGAGGGGAAGAGGGAGGACCAAGCTGTCAACAGCCCCAGACCTGCCAAGCCCCATTAGTCTGTGTGCCCGCCAGGATTCTAAAACTCCTTTTGGGAATTTTGACTTTTACTGAATTGTGAAATTCTGTGTATATATAGCCTTGGTGAGCTGACCCAGTCAGGGATGACTCTTCATACACTTTGTCTTACAAGATTCAGAATCCAAGGCTACAGGAGGTAATAAGGCCTTTGGGAGGGCCTGCCTCTCCTCCTCAGCTCCCCCCACCCCTCCCCAATGTGTGGGTCTCCATCCTGAGATTTCTATTCAGGTATGTCACAGTTCTGCAAACTATGATAGGACTAGAAGTGAACACATTGTTGCGGGGATTCAGAGTGCATCAGGCTTTGTAATAGGCTGTGGAACCTAGGGTACCTGGGCTTGTGTCGGTTTCTGGTCCCTCAAAATGGGGAACATCACAATATTGAAGAAAATGAGAGTCCCTAAATACAGCTTGCCATTTCTGCCCGCATTTTATTCCTTGGAGCCCAGAGTTACCAAAATTATTCAGGGTGAGCTTGTTTCGGCAGAACAGCATTAGCTTGCATCTGTGTTAGCAGTAGTGCATCTTTGCACTTTGAAGTCAGACAGATCTGGATTTGAATCCTAGTTTTAGCACAGGACCTTACTCTAAGCCTTTTAAAATTTCAGGCTTAGCATATTTTTAATGCCACTTTTTGTAATTTAGAGGAGGTAAAGCAGCACATAGTTTAAGGACACTGCATGCCTACCCACCATAGCAGCATGTGTCCTCAGCTGTCAGGTAGGACATGGAGCTCCTGATGCCCAACTCTTGAGGCTATTTGAGGCCTGGCCAGGGACAGCAACAGGTGGTGCAAAGGGCAAGGTGCTCCCTCCACATAACTGAAATGTGCCTTTCTCCAGAGTCTCTCAGTTTTCTGGTGGCCTTATTAGTTTCAGAATACTAAATGGCTAATGTATTTATCCATTATGGCCTCATTGACTTTGGAAGTGTACTTAATTTTTAAAACTTTGCTTTAGTGCCTTCATTTCTGCACTCCTCCAGCACTTTCTATGAATTATTTTAAAGGCATGAATTATTTTTCTAGCTACAGCATGGACATGCGTGAAACATACGCCCAGCTTGCATCACCTTCCAGTGCACTGCCTAGAGATAGAACAACAAAAACTTAATGCTCAGGAGGCTTCTGAGAGGCTCCAGGGAGTCGCTGAATTCCTTAAAGAAGGGAAAGGTCAGATCCTGATCCTGGTGACACTGTCAGAAATTCTAGAACTTTTCACAGGTTAAAATATTTTATGTTTATAGAAAAGAGTCATGTATAAAATGTTTTTTGTTCAGTTTACATATTTAAAAAGGACTGTGGTAATTTCAAATGCTTTGTGCTTACATGTCATGTAAATATTGTTAGAAGCCCCCCCCCCCTTTTTTTTTTAACAAAAACTGGAGATTTTCATGACTGTATAGGTGTTTTCAGATGGAGGATTTGCCAAACCTATGTTGTGATTTGCCAAACCTGTGTTCCCACATGATCTCTGCTTGGGAAAAGTGGCCAGTGCTATCGTGCAGTGCACAGCATTTTTATGTGACTCTGGTTTGGTGTGTGCTGTGTTGGTCACCACTTAAATTAGAGCCAGTGTGCACAATTTGAATATATAAAAATTTGAAAATACATTTAGCCAGTCTATTCTTCAGTACATTTTAAGTGTCAAGTGAAAAAAGTAAAAGGAAATTAATGAAGGAAAGGAAAGCATCAAAAGATGAATTCATCTTTTGACTTCAAACTGGAAGGCAAATGGAAGAATTATCTTAACAGCTGACAACATCCTAGCTGGTAATTTGAAAAACTCCAGTTTGAAATTTGGTCTTTCACGGAAATTTTCCCTGAGTTGGGAGGTCACCAAAATTGTGCCTAATTATTTTAAAGCAGGACAGGACAAACTTCTACTGTCTTGGAAAACTTCTAAGCAGGCCCTTATCCTAAATCTTGCACCTCCATGTCTTAGAAAGTGAAATCTGGAGGACTGCTGGCAAGATGGCCAAATAGGAACAGATCCAGTGCACAGCTCCCAGCGAGAGCAATGCAGAAGGCAGGTGATCTCCGCATTTCCAGCGAGGTACCTGGTTCAACTACTTGGGACTGGTTAGACAGTGGGTGCAGCCCAAGGAGGAAGACCTGAAGCAGAGTGGGGTTTCACCTCACCCGGGAAGTGCAAGGGGCTGGGGAACTCCCTCTCCTAGCCAAGGGAAGCCATTAGGGACCTTTCCCAGCACTCTGGCCCAGATACTGTGCTTTTCCCACAGTTTTCACAACCTGCAGACCAGGAAACTTCCTCTGTTGCCTACAAGACCAGCACCCTGGGTTTCCAGCACTAAACTGGGTAGCTGTTTGGGAAGACCTCAAGCTAGCTGTAGTTTTTTTCTTTTCTTTTCATACCCCAGTGGCGCCTGGAATGTCAGCAAGACACAACTGTTCACTCCCCTGAAAAAGAGGGCTGAAACCAGGGAGCCAAGTGAACTGGCTCAGTGGGTCCTATCCCAATGAAGACCAGCAAGCTAAGACCCACTGGCTTGAAATTCTCACAGCCAGCACAGCAGACTGAACTCCACCTGGGACTTTTGAGCTCATTGGGAGGAGGGGTGTCTGCCATTGCTGAGGCTTAAGTAGGTGGTTTTAAACCTCATCTGTCTAAACAGAGTTGCCAGGAAGTTTACACAGCAGCTGGGTGGAGCCCACAGCAACTCAGCAAGGTGTCTGCAGGCAGACTGCGTCACTAGACTCCCTCCTCCCTGGGCAGGGCATCTCTGTAAAAAGGCAACAGCCTGTCTGGGACTTCTAAAGCTCCCACTTTTCTGGGACAGAACACCTGGGAAAAGGGGTGGTTGTGGGTACACCTTCAGAAGACTTAAACATCCCTGCCTGATACTCTGAAGGGAGCAGCGGATCTCCCCGTGCAGAATTTGAACTCTGATAAGGTATAGACTGCCTCCTCGAGTGGCTCCCTGACCCCTGTGTATCCTGACTTGGAGACACCTCATATAGGAGAGTTTTGGCTGGCATCTGGTGGGTACCCTTCTGGGATGAAGCTACCAGAGGAAGGAACAGGCAGCAATTTTTGCTGTTCTGAAGCCCATGCTGGTGACTCCCAGGCAAGCAGGGTCTGGAGTGGACCTCCAGTAAACTCCAGCAGACCTGCAGCAGAGGGACCTGACAGTAAGAAGGAAAACTAACAAGCAGAAAGAGTAGTTTCAACATCACCAGGAAGGACGTCCACTCAGAGCCACATAAAAAGGTCACCAATATCAAAGACCAAAGATAGATGATAAATCCATGAAGATGGAAGAAACCAGTGCAAAAAGGCAGAAAATTCCAAAAAACAGAACACCTCTTCTCCTCCAAGGGATCACAACTCCTCACCAGCAAGGGAACAAAACTGGATGGAGAATGAGTTTGATGAATTGACAGAAGCAGGTTTCAGAAGGTGGGTAATAACAAATTTCTCTGAGCTAAAGGAGCATGTTCTAACCTAATGCAAGGAAGCTAAGAAACTTGGAAAAAAGGTTAGACAAAATGCTAACTGGAATAACCAGTGTGGAGAAGAACATAAACAACCTGATGGAGCTAAAAAACACAGCACAAAAACTTCATGATGCATATACAAGTTTCAATAGCCAAATCGATCAAGCAGAAGAAAGGATATCAGAGATTGAAGATCAACTCAATGAAATAAAGGGAGAAGGCAAGATTAGAGGAAAAAAGTGAAAAGAAATGAACAAAGCCTGCAAGAAATACGGGATTATGTGAAAAGACCGAATCTATGTTTGATCAGTGTACCTAAAAGTGACGGTAAGAATGAAACCAAGTTGGAAAACACTCTTCAGGATGTTATTCAGGAGAACTTTCCCAACCTAGCAAGGCAGGCCAACATTCAAATTCAAGAAATACAGAAAACACCACAAAGATACTCCTCAAGAAGAGCAACCCCTGCAAACAACTCTATGTACATAAACTAGTAAACCTGGAAGAAATGGATAAATTCCTGGACACTTGCCTCTTCCCAGGCCTAAACCAGGAAGAAGTCAAAACCCTGAATAGACCAATAGCAAGGTCTGAAGTTGAGGCAGCAATTAAGGGCCTACCACCCCCAAAAAATCCCAGGTCCAGATGGGTTCACAGCCAAATTCTACCAGACATATAAAGAGGAGCTAGTACCATTCCTTCTGAAACTTCCAAATAATCCAAAAAGAGGGAATCCTTCCCTAATCATTTTATGAGACCAACATCATCCTGACACCAAAACCCGACAGAGTCTCAGCAAGAAAAGAAAACGTCAGGCCAATATCCATGATGAACATAGAGGATGCAAAAATCTTCAATAAAATACTGGCAGGCCGATTGCAACAGCACATCAAAAAGCTTATCCACCATGATCAAGTAGGATTCATCCCAAGGATGCAAGGCTGGTTCAACATATGCAAGTCTATAACCGTAATTCACCATATAAACAGAGCCAAAGACAAAAACCACATGATTATCTCAATTGATGAAGAGAAGGCCTTTGACAAAATTCAACAGCCCTTTATGCTAAAAACCCTCAATAAACTAGGTATTGACAGAACGTATCTCAAAATAATAAAAGCTATTTATGACAAACCAACAGCCAATATCATATTGAATGGGCAAAAACTGGAAGCATTCCCTTTGAAATCTGGCATTAGACAAGGATGCCCTCTCTCACCACTCCTATTCAATATAGTACTGGAAGTTCTAGCCAGAGCAATCAGGCAAGAAAAAGAAATAAAGAGTATTCAGATAGGAAAGGAGGAAGTCAAATTGTCTCTATTTGCAGACGACATGATTGTATCTAGAAGACCTCATCATCTCAGCCCAAAATCTCCTGAAACTGATAAGGAACTTCAGCAAAGTCTCAGTATACAAAATCAATGTGCAAAAATCACAAGCATTCCTATACATCAATAACAGACTTAAAGAGAGCCAAACCAAGAATGAACTGCCATTCACAATTGCTACAAAGAGAATAAAATACCTAGGAATAAAACTAACAAGGAACATAAAGGACCTCTTCAAGGAGAACTACAAACCACTGCTCAATGAAATAAGAGAGGACACAAACAGATGGAGAAACATTCCATGTTCATGGTTAGGAAGAATCAATATCATTGAAAATGGAGATGCTGTCCAAAGTAATTTACAGATTCAACACTATCCCCATCGAGCTACCAATGACCTTCTTCACAGAACTGGAAAAAAAAAAAAAACCTTAAACTTC